ATCTTATCTTATCTTATCAGAGCTGCTTTCCGAGACAGGTTGTCCCGGTGATGTCATTTGCTTTGTGGTCCAGTGTTTAGATTACCTGCACATGGATTGAGGCTAAAGGAGCTGGTGGTGGTTGTAGTAGTTTTAGTGGTGGTGGTGGTGGGGGAAAAAGCTGGACCGTCAACTTCTCTGAGTCCATTGTCCTCCTTGAAGCTCACTGCAGAACAACAACAGCACAGACTGTGAGAAACATGTAGCAGTCCAGCTAACCGAGGCTACTGCATTCAAACCATTTAATGTTTCTAATACATGCAGCAAATTTGAAAACGAGCAATATTCCAAGACATCATTTGACCCATGCTGAGTGTTTTTGTCATTATACTCTTTTACGGAGCAGAGAGAGTTCTATGAATAAATGAACATTTTTATTTGAGGTCGTAATGGGTGGATTTTTTATACTCCTCTTTAAATATCTTTTCCCCAAGGGCCATAAATATGATGGCGATCAAATCTGGTGTTGGTTTAACCACAGCACAACCATAGATTAGCTTACTGAGATTTCTGCATTTAAGCTTTTAGTGGAAGTAAAATACTTGAGGTTTTTTTTGTTATGCAGCTGCCTCATCTCGTGTCAGTGAATTCTGAACACGTGCAGTTTTTTAAGCTGAAGTAGCACAGGGTCAAACTAAATATGACAGGTGCAGAATTTCAAATAATGTGACAAATGAAGTAATTAACACAACTCATTATGTCCAGTGCTTGGAACCTTGGTTCCTGACATGCATGTAAATGTTACTTTACATCTACCACCCACCTAAGCACTGTTGCAGCCCAAGAGCCCCACACAGGCTCATGGCTGTGCAATAATACTTGAGGAACAGCTCAAAAAAACAGCGTTTATCCGGTTCTCAAACTCACGTGATCCCAAACAGCCTGACCTGTCCTTGAAGAACCTCAGAGACACTGCGTCCATGTCCTAACAGGTCATGGACGCAGTGGGCATGTGGTTTTATGTCATGGCTGATTGTTATACACCACTCTCACTGTGTCATTTTTCTGTCTGTTTGTTAGCAGTGTCGCATCCACAGTTTTCAAGATATCCTTTTAAAATTTTGTGCGATGGTAGATGCCAATAATAGCTTGAGCTGATTTCATTTTGATAAAAATCGGGTCAAAGTCACACCAAAAACTTTATATTACCCGCAGCTTTTCATGAATATTCTTCAAACTTTGCAACAAAATACTTGATCTTGGGGGAAATAAGTACCTGTATTGACTAAGCATTTGACCTTGACCTTCACTGTTAGTGCCCAAGGTCAAAATTAGCCTTGAAACCTGAGCCTCGTTCTGCTGGAGGTTTCTTCCTGTTAAAAGGGAGTTTTTCCTTCCCACTGTCGCCAAAGTGCTGCTCATAGGGGGTCATATGATTGTTGGGTTTTTCTCTGTATCTATGAAGCACCTTGAGGCGACTTTTGTTGTGATTTGGCGCTATATAAATAAAATTGAATTGAATTGAAAAAATATTTAAAGAAACCATGACAAGAGAGAGCTGCACAATACAATTTTGTTTTCCAATATGATGACCTAAGATGTCATGACGCCATAACAGGCTGATGTCATTAACCACCCTCATAAAACATCAAAGTTTTAGTAGAGCCCTTGCCCTTCGAGAGGAGTTGCGCTCTCTGAGTGCTCCACAGAGCTCTCTCTCAGCTCATATTCAATCAGCCTGCTAGCACCCCAACATAAAGCCTGTGCCTACAGTACTGGAGTAGTGAAATTCCTTTTGAAATAATCTTATGTCCATTTGTCACTTTCAGCTCTTCCTGAGATGTTTAAATGTACCTATACTACCAAACACATTGAAACCCTGTTCCTTTAGCCTCTATGCAGTTAGTGCATGTCACGTTTTTGTGTATTGTGCATGACAGATATGTAACTACATATGACACATTGTTCAGCATTTCAAACACAGCACAACAATCTTGTCAAGCCTTGGATTTCTCCAAATATGAAATTAAAATTATGATTTTAGGCTCCATTTTGAATCGATCTGCCAGGACGAGCTACTGTACCTGGTGCACACGAATGTCCATCCAGCTGCAGGATGTAGCCCTGGTGGCAGCTACAGCGATAGGAGCCCCAGATGTTGGTGCACGTGTGCTGGCACAGCTGGCCAGGGTAGAGCTCACACTCGTCAACATCCTCCTGCTCCTCCACAGTGTTGGCAGCTTCATCTGTGGACCTGATGGAGAAGGCTTCCTTGGGGAACTTATTGTCTGATACTGGAAGGAGTCCGTGGAGAGGAGGTGGGAGAAAGTGAGGGGAGAGGGGGGGTAAGATTAGGAACCAGATTTTCTGTATTTATTCCAAACACTTATCTAATGAAACTGACTTGAAGACACAAAACAACATCTGCTCGTCCCCCACAATTAAATTCAAAGTGTGTATGTGTGTTTATACAGTGCAGTTATACAAGGTGATAAATATTCCAGCAAGACTGCGCTCAATCTTGCTAAATATTTATGGTCACATGACTTGGCTGGTGCATCCTCGATCAGATTTTAAGGCTTTAATGCGGCTACTATACGTGCCACTTTGGGCTAAATTTGTAAAGCAAAGTATTTTTGGACTAAATAAAGGCTGACCGGAAAAAAAACGTCCATAAATGTTGTGCTCGGGATTCAGGTTATTACTAGGGATGAAACGATACCAATGTTTTCAAACCGATACGATACCGATACTTGGATCTGAGTACTTGCCGATACAGAG